AGTATGTGCGAAAATATACGCTGTCAAACATCTTTTGGCGACTTTTTTCCGGTAGTGAAATGTTCATTTTGTAAATATTCAATTTGATTGAGTATCCCAAGATGGTTTGGAATAAGATAGCTGCAATATCCACTGACAATCTTTGACCTTCACCTTTATCTTATGAACTTTATTATGTAGATCTCAAATTTGATCGAATAAAGTTAGTCCAAATGTTACAAAAGTTGACAGAAGTTGAATAAAATATCAAGAGAGAATCATCTGCTAAACTTGTTGAAAATTTAGTATTACTAATAGCCAGACACTTCGAGCATTGCAGCGGTATAGAAATAGGATATGATAGAGCGACATAGGCGTACAGCAAATATGATTAAGAAGATAAGGGAATAACTCCACCTAGAGACTTACCCCGTCTGTTGCTTATCAGGGGTATCGTTAGAGCAGTCGCCTTCATGAAGTAATATCAATGCATCGACTCCACTTGTAGCGGCGTATATTTTATGATTAGCTCAGATAATGGCTTCACCCGTACCATAACCATCAATGCTATATTGAACTAGAAAATAATTATTGATGATGTCGACGGCTTATAGATAGACATAAATAGGTAAAGAACGTTATGCTCCATTATTCTCTCTTTCTGAAACTCTCTCTCGCCTTTTCTCTTCCCCGTCAACCATTGTCAAGTTCGGTGCAATGGTCGCTGCAAGCAAGGTTTAACAAACATTTGATCTTGCTCGTGGATCCAGTAGGCTAGAGCTGAAATAGGAAGAGTTCTTAATCAAATATATTCCAAGTGATAGTGTCATTACCAATCTTTTGGCCGATCAGAACGGGGCAAGCGCCATGATAAGAGCGGACCTCATAGTCTAATGAGTTGGGATTCATGTTGTACCAGTGGATCACTTTGCCCCTCTCCGGATGAACCGCTATCTCCACGTGGGGAAACACTGTAGCACCACCCCGAGTCACATCATTGAGCTGCGTAACAAGTAACGATTGAACAGCTGCTTACATGTGGAAGCATCATCACCTACATAAATTATAAAGGTCGCAAAGCGATCGTCAGCGTACTCCTCATCGGTGTAGTTAAAATAATCCTCATGGAGAACGTAATGACCACCAAAGTCATATTTCAGATATTCAAAAGCGTCATCCTTTATTTGTAAGTCAGACATATCCTTCATCCTCTGGAATATGCGCCCCACCAATTGAGCATCCTTCGTCGACCCTTCGTCCATAAATAGGAAAGCGCCATTGGCAGTTCGAAACTTGAGTAACACGTCATCTAGTTCATCGTCGTTAACAACTCCTGCGCGTCGCAACAAGGGCTCAGATATACGGCTCAGATGTTCTATCTCCGATTGGTAGATCACATCGTGAAATACAACCATGTAAGGATCCTCGGACAACAGTTCCATTTTGAATGGGGCTAGATACAAAAA